TGGGTGCCCCCACCAAGTCGAACTGCGTCACTGATCTCTGTCGAATGCCGTTGGAGCTAAATTCTGCCCTTGTTGAACCTTACTCCCGAGCTCTCACCCTGGTAACAGATTTGTGCTCGTTCAAAGAGCAATTGGAGCTAAGATTTCTTTGGTAGATTCCAAAGACTGCGCCACATTAGGTCGTATTTCACGGGGCAATAGAAAAAACGGCCTGTTCCCACGATAGTCTGGTTGGCAATAGCCAATGTGATAATCATCGTGGTAACCGGTAACCTGAGGTCCAGTCCACACAGTCTCAATTAAGGAGCGGCAAAAAGTGATACTGAATGATAAGAAGTGATGATAAGTGATCCACTAGGTGATGGCCCAGAGCTGGCCAAGTTGCCCTCCCCCTCTCCTAGAAAAGAAATGGTCCCCTAAGTGAGGAGAAAAAAGAAAGTGCTTCAGACAAGGGTCATGAATTAAAAGCGAGTGGATCAGCAAAAGTCGACAAAAGAAAATTGAATTTATGGAAGAATTATGGAATAAAAATCGGCGGGGCTCGGGGGGGGCATTCTGCACTTTTGCTACCTCTCATCATCGTATCGTAACATCCAGTAGAAAACTATGAAATCTTGTGAAGCCAGGAAGCGATACCAGTCGAAGTTCGTAGAGACTTGTCAACTCTCGTAAAGAATAACTGTTACGCAAAGCACGGATCACGGCTATGGAAAATAGCAAAAGTGCAAGCGCCCCCCTCAAGTCAAAATGCGCTTAAAAACTTACAAGTTACAAAAAATTCAACTAATCTGTGAAGACCTCCATCTGAAGAGCTCTAAAATCACGCGACACGTTTCCCTTGAAAGAACCTACACACCAGACAATTACCAGGCCCGTTGTACGTTGTAGTTCCTATGCGAAGGGGAGGGGGTCGTATGTGGTCGAGAAGGGGCGATCATGTTTGCCTCTAGAGAATAACCTTGGTTGTTGACGTTTTCCAGATTTTCCTTTTCAAATGCGCAATACATCACCATCCCCCCCCCTCCCTCCACCAATCCCTTTCGACCGGCAGAGCTGTTTTTCTGGGGAAATTCGAGAGTTCCAAAGAAAATCTGGGAAATTGGTAGGAAGTTGGGAGAGTTTAGGAAACTAGTAGGTACGGTAGGTGATAGATCCTGCAAAATTTTTCTTCAACGGCAGGGTAAGCCCTGATAATTACCGCCTAGCTGCAATTTTAGCCCTTGCAGTATCTATTTTCACTGAAAATTCCATTTTAGTGCAAACTCGTTTCGATTTCGCTGCAAATCCAGTATTTTTGGGATATTTCCAGATGCCGGGTTTATTTAATCGCTATAAAACGCCCTGAATTTCAATGGATGCCAAATTTAGTGTGGGCGAAAAGGGCAGGCGATGGCATTGAGAGCGAATCAGGGGCAAATCTAATTAGAAGGGGGTAGTAGAGCCTAGATTTCAAGACTTGTTCGCTAAATCCATTTGCCGCAAATCGCAAAGACGCCTGAGAGCGCAGATTTTTCCAAAGGCTACAGACCAAATCTCAACATAGTATAACCCAAGTTTTCATTTGCTTCATGACGTCTTCAAGGTACAGGAAATAATTGTACCGATAAAAAATGTGAGGCTACCAGAAGCTCCAGAAACACTGAGTCCCAACTGGCTTAATGCCATCTCGTATTACTTGCACTAGAGACAAAATCCCAAGGTTGAATGAAGAAAATTGCGGGCAAACGGTTGGGGGAGGCAGCTACGTCATGTCTGCTAGTCTCCCGTCCACTCTCCGAGATAGTGCAAAATGAGCTCGTACGTCACTGTCCCATTCGCAAGCGATTTTCGGCTCGAAACACAGAACGAAAGCACATTCCAGTCAACACAATGTCCAGATTT